AGTGAGGGTGTGTGTGTGTGTGTGTGTGTGTGTGTGTGTGTGTGCGTGTGTGCGTGTGTGCGTGCGTGCGTGCGTGCGTGCGTCTGTCTGTCTTGTCTGTCTGTGTGTGTGTGTGTGTGTGTGTGTGTGTGCGCGCGTCTGTCTGTCTGTCTGTCTGTCTGTGTGTGTGTGTGTGTGTGCGCGTGCGTGCGCGTCTGTCTGTCTTTGTTTGTGTGTGTGCAGGTGGTGGTCCAGGGCATCCCTGAAGTGGCGCGTGCCGTCATTCACATCGATGAACAGAGCGGCAAACAGAAGCTCAAGCTGCTGGTGGAGGGAGATAATCTCAGGGCTGTCATGGCAACACACGGCGTCAACGGCAACAGAACAACATCCAACAACACATACGAGGTACAGACCGCCCAGTCTGACTGTCAGAGATACACACACACGGATCCAGCTGATCACGCTCCTCAGTGTCTCCTTCAGAGTGTGACATTTAAACAGTCTTTAACATGGGCAGCACTGCAGAAGTGGATCCTTTAAATCACATCATATCTGCTGAATGAAATACTAGACTGGTTTCTTACTGGTTTTAAGCTGCTGATTCTAAAACTCACAAAATATGATACATTTCATAGCACTTTTGCTTTTTACAACCATTTGTTGGGTGAAGAAGTCTTTATTTATCCCTTAATTGTCAGACAAACACCACAAACACATGATTCCTGTCTGAATCTGAGCCTCATTACAACAATCTGTTCAACTCTCAGCCCATATTCACATGCATGACATTAGTTTAAGGGTTGTGAAGTGGCAGAAAATTCTGGTAAATTTCTGGAAACATTACAGAATTTTTTGGAAGTTTTGCAGGATAATTTTGGAAAGTTTCTGCCCCTTTGCAGCCGTAATTATTTTATGCCTAATGTTGATTTCAAGGCTAGAAAATGCAAACATGAGCCATATGTTTTACTGCTTCCATACAGTGATGAAATATTATAGAGTTTGTGAAAAAGCTCATGTTATTGTATAATGGGTATTTGAACGGATTTTTCCACTCTGCAAATTGAAAGTTAAATGTTTTAAATCCTTCTTTAGTCATTAAAACCCAAACGTTTTACATTTGACTGCTTTTGTTGTGTTAATAAGTGCATTGAAGCCGATACATATGCAATTTGAAAAATCTCCATTCTTATTTTGTAAAAACTGTACATGATGGAAAATTATTATTGATATTTTTGAACTCTGCATCATCAAATAAGGTAATATGAGGAGTAATATTTCTTGCAAATCAGCAAAATTGTTGTTGTTTTCAAGTTGCACAGCTGTCATGTTCAGCTTGTCTATTGTTTGTGAAGATGTTAATTCATATCTGTAGTGTTTTTGATGATCTGATCGTGCTCTTCAGGTCGAGAAGACGTTAGGCATCGAAGCGGCGAGGTCCACCATCATTAACGAGATCCAGTACACCATGGTAAACCACGGTATGAGCATCGACCGCAGACACGTCATGCTGCTGGCGGACCTCATGTCTTATAAGGTGTGTTGAGTTCAGCTGCTGAAGGAGATAAATGCATTATAATGATGCTGAGTGATGGATTCATGACTGTGAGTGAGATGAGAGCGTCTCTTGGGTCGTAGGGTGAGATTCTGGGCATCACCCGCTTCGGTCTAGCCAAGATGAAGGAGAGCGTTCTCATGCTGGCGTCCTTTGAGAAGACGGCGGATCATCTGTTCGATGCGGCTTATTTCGGACAGAAAGACTCGGTCTGTGGTGAGTGACGAGCAGAAACACGCATAACGACACAACGGAAAAGATCCATTCATGAGCAAAGAAAAATTATATGCGGAGGCAATCAAATGAAGCCTCTCAGTAGCACTTCTGAAAAATATTCATTTAAATATCAATAATTATTCTAATTTATATATATATATATATATATATACAGTGCACAGCATAAATGTGTACACCCCCTCTAAAACTTAACAAATGCAGCAATTACTCTTTACTTAGAAGACATGTTAGGGTTCTTTGGAGATGTAATGTTCCAACAAGTCTGCTTGATCAATTACCAAAGAATGCCCTTCAAGCTTACTGATTCTATGAAGACACGAAAGTTAGAGACTGGTAAATGTGTGTGTATATATATATATAAATACAGTGCACAGCATAAATGAGTACACCCCCTCAAATTCAGCAATTACTCTTTACTTAGAAGACATGTTAGGGTTCTTTAGAGATATAATGTTCCAACAAGCCTGCTTGATCAATTACCAAAGAAGAATGCCAAAATTATTCAGCAAAATAAGATTTTCTTATCAAAGTGATAAAATTGTGTTGCAAAAATGAGTGCACCCTCCTGAAAGTTACTAAATAAAACTAAGAAGAAAAAAAAGTATTGGTTTAAGGCTATTTTTGATCAACAGGTAAGTATATTGAACCTACACTTTTAAAGACAAGTAATTTCCTGACAATTAAAAGTGTTATATAGCCC